ATATTTGAGCCTCGATGCGTAAGACATAAAACTCGGAAAAAAACTGTGAAAATCCCAAACCCTAGACATAAAACTCGAAAAATCATGTCACCGAGTTCGCACTCCCATATTTGAGCCTCGATGCGTAAAACATAAAACTCGAAAAAAACTGTGAAAATCCTAAACCCTAAACAGAAAACTCGAAAAAAACTGTGAAAATCCTAAACCCTAGACATAAAACTCGAAAAATCATGTCACCGAGTTCGCACTCCCATATTTGAGCCTCGATGCGTGGGATATAAAACTCCAAAAAAAACTGTGAAAATCCTAAACCCTAGACATAAAACTCGAAAATCGCCAAAAAAAAACTGTGAAAATCCTAAACCCTAGACATAAATCTCGAAAAATCATGTCACCGAGTTCGCACTCCCATATTTGAGCCTCGATGAGTGGAAAAAAACTGTGAAAATCCTAAACCCTAGACCTAAAACTCGAAAAAAAAACTGTGAAAATCCTAAACCCTAGACATAAAACTGAGGACGACAGGTTTGTGCCTTTGGCCACGAAGGTTTTGAGGTTTTGTGCCTTTGGCCACGAAGGTTTTGTGCCTTTGGCCACGAAGGTTTTGTGCCTTGGCCACGAAGGTTTTGTGCCTTGGCCACGAAGGGGTTTAACATTTAAATATATATAGTAAGAGAGGTTTAGGGTTTAAGGTTTAGGGCTTAGGGTTTAGGGTTTAGGGTTTAAGGTTTAGGGTTTAAGGTTTAGGGTTTAGGGTTTAGGGTTTAGTGTTGAGGGTTTAGGGATGTTTAGGGTTTAAGGTTTAGGGTTTAGGGTTTAGGCTTTAGGGTTTAGGGTGGTTTAGGGTTTAGGGTTTAGGGTTTAGGGTTTAGGGTTTAGGGTTTAGGGTTTAGGGTTTAGGGTTTAGGGTTTAGGGCCACCCAGAGGGTCGCGGGCCGGCGCGCCGAGCTGGACGCGACATCCCACCCCAAGACCACCCAAACATCCAATCTAGTAGGGTTTGGGCTTACTTGGACCGCCTACTGTGAGGGCTAGGCTCTTGCAGGGAGTTTTTTGTGGGGAGAGCTTACAAGGGGCCCTTACAGGGAAGGCCCCTTTCAGCCTTTTACGGGGAAGCCTTTTTGGCCATTACGGGAGGCCCTTTACGGTTCCCGGAAGGCCCCTTACGGGGAAGGAGTTCAGAGTTGATGCGGCGTCATGGGCAAGCCCAAATGGGAGGTAACCCAGGACCCTCATTTGGGGCAGCCAAAGCAAATCTTTATGGGGAGGCCTTTTGCGAGGGAGCCCTCTTACGGGAGGCCCCTTACGAGGAGGCCCTTTTATGGGGAGGCCCCTTTACAGCGAGGCTGTTTTGCGCTTCGGTCAGCATGTAGTACAAGGGAAGGTCGAGCCACCTGTCCAAACGCCGAGGCTCGGCTTCCCCGAGAAGCTCCGCTGCACAGCGACGTAGATTGTTGGCCAGCGCCTGGGCTTCTCCGCGCAAGCCCGGCCAGTGTTCAAGCGCATCGTTCAGCTTCATGGACATCACGGTGCAAGTGCCCAGCTGCATGCGGTCCAGCAAGACTTCCTGCAGCTTGACACCCCACGCATGGGCATAGTGTCCCGCGTCTCTCCGCTTCAGACAGCTCGCGTCGAAGTCGCCCAGCGCAAAACCGTTCAGGGTCGCCTCGGCGGCGAGATTGCGACAGTCCCAGGCTATGGCTGCCCGCGGTGCTACTATGCAGTGTAGCCAGTATTGACACGCATCTTCTGGACCTGCGCGCCGCACAGCCGTGCTCGCCCGCCCAGAAGCTGAGCAGCAGCGATCAGCTTCTGGCGGTCACCCCACTGGCTTCGCAATGTGGCGAAGCGCGGCATGCAGCCGCTGCCACTTCTCGCCCCAGCGTCGGCACTCCGGACACGGAGACGGCAACCAGTCCAACGGTCGTTGTGCCTGCTCTTCGGCCCATGGCACGGCAGACAGTCGCCACAAGACATGTTGACGACGATGTCTCCGAAGCCAAAACAGCCCCAACATCCATACATGACGCCAGAGCCGTTGTATTAGGGGTCGGAGTGCCAGCCCAACCAACAGTGCCAGGCCCAGACTGCGCCGCGCAACGGGTGAGGCCATGTCCTAAAAATCCTATCACCTACAACGAGCCACACTGTAAGCGCAAAGCGACGGTGGAACGCCACAACGAATCTCGGATGTTTGAGCCACCTGTAACATGACACATCTCTGACAAGTTCGCTGAATCTGACGCGTAAAAACACATGTACCGTGGCCCCAAGCAGACCTTCTATGCAGCATCCCTGTCTGTTTTCACTCAATGCGGCTCAAGGTCGGCCGACAGCGCCCGTGCGCGCATGCAAGTACCTCATTTTACCGATGAAGCTCAGACAATCCATGGCGACTGACGCTGAGTGTTACGCCTGGCCAAACCCAACTCGAGCTCTCCGATGTACGCGCCAAGACTGAGGGCGTACTCGTCCTCGCGCGTTAAGCTTTCGCACAGTGCAAGTTCTGAGATTTTTGGCAGCACTCTGCATGCCATGCCTGAACCCTAAGCTGCTCCATCAACGCAGCCAAGGTGGGGTAGAGGGCCAAGGCCGAGCCGTCCTGGAGATGCAGAGCACTGACACATCATCAAACCTTTGCGTGGGGCTGTGTGGTCCTCCGTGCGCCGCAAACAATTCCAATGTTCTGCGGCCACGCTCATAGCGATCACGCACGTATCCCCGGCATCAGGATCGAGTTCCACTTTCTTTTCCACAAAAGAGCCCAACGGGCGATACCCACCTGGGGGAGAGCGGAGTTGCCGGGTGCATTGCCAGCCTTACAAAGGCCACACTGCAGAAGAACACCCCGCCTGTGTGGCATTTGGTGACCAGCAAGGTCTTGCCTGTGATGAAACGTGTGCTCGCAACTGCCGCGAGCTATTTGCAAACGCATTCCTGTGCCTGGTGGCGGGGCGTAACACTCCACGTGCTCATAGTACTGTGAGTACAGCATGATCGCTGACCCTCGGCTCCTGAGTCTAATTGGCTAATCAGAGACTTGCTAGTGGAAAACGTCGTCTGAGGCTTGGGCATCGACGCCCTCAAAAGGCCGATCGTTCTCATCGAGGATGGCGCCCGCTGCTGCCAGTAAGAAGCAGTTCTTCGCCTCGCAGCAAACGTTCTGCATTACCAATCGCACTGAACATTTTCCCTCATCATTCTTTTGGCTCCGGGCATAGTTCTGATGCATGGGGCATGGCACCTCCTCATCCTGATGCGAGACGACTGATACACAGGCAACTAACCACACTGCAACACGAAGGGGAGCCTCGTCTGCACTCTCTGTTTCCTGGTGGGTCTTCTCTAGGAAGCCATGCACTAACACGACACAGAGCCAGCCTGAAGCCACCACTTCGGGACGGTTGCCGGCATCGCCCCAATGTCGCTGATGACAAGACGCTCCATGTTCCTGGTCAAGCCGAAGCCCCGAGGCCCCCGTGTGTACGTTACGCCTGTGACCGCATAGTACTAAGGCCGCAGCAGTACGGCTGTTCTCAGATCTTCAACAAACACAAGAATGTTCTGAGGCTTGACGGCTACGCAGAACGTGAAATTGGGATCTAGACTGTTGGGGTTTCCAGATTTCTTGCTTACGGTACTACTCTGAATCCCAAAGCTGGAGGTGTCGTACTGAAGTGCAAGGTCTGCAGAGATTGGCTAAGGAGAAAGAACTTCATTCCGCGAGTGACATGGCACGACACACTAGGCTCTGTTGATGCTAGCCAAGCACAAGTTTGCCTCAGACCTCACGCAATTGACCAACTAGCCCTCGGCCGTCGGCACCCTGAACAATTTTTGTGGGACGAATACCGTGCTTTGCAATCTCCCTCAGCCATTTTAAGTGCACGGTGCTCCTATATAATAAGGCAAACCCCTGCACTGCGAGGAGTTTTTTAATCGAAATCGGAAGCAAATCGTTCTTGAACTTGCCTGCTAAAAGTCTCTTACTTGCAGCCGAGAAGGTTCAGAAAGTACAGCATGCTGGCCAGCTCCTCGGTCTGCAGCTAACATTCCAGTTCCTATCATTGCTTTGCGCTGCCATCGAGACTCAGCCTCCAGAAGCATGCCCACCGTGCACTGGCGGGTTGCTCTTGTCCAGCCGGGCGCCACCAACTCGATGCGCCAATCAGCCTCACCACCAGCGCAGATATGATTGGGACAGGACAAATGCAAACTGTTTGCGTTGCATATAAGTCGCTGACATGTAGCATTTCTTCTGCCTCACTACCTCATAAAATTTCCAATCGTCACAGCAACAGCTGCCCATGATTCCTTTCACCAATCGTAGCTGCCATCGACACGATTGGTTTTGAAGAATGAGACCAGTGACATACATCCACTTCCACGGAGGCTCTAGGTTGGAATTAGCCGAGCACCAAAGCATGGATGTCGTACGTAAGGCTCCGGCTGGTGAAGAGCAAGAAGTCATTGCCTGGCAAGTGCCATTCAGAGATAACTGATTGTAACAAAATCCGCTTACTGATAACAATAGTATGCATGCCAGTGTCAAGATTCTTTTTGCGCTCCGCACCTTTCTCACGAAAACACATGGCTATGTCATGAAGCCAGAATCATGGCCAGGTCAAACAGATGTCTGTCGCCATTTTTATCGGGATGGCCTCGTAGCATCAACTTTTTTCGCATGCCAATCCCAGCGATTTGAGTTGCGCCAAAGACATGGCATTTCTGCCTTTTGACGAGAATCTGAGCTCCACATTGCTTCTGAAGCAGAAGTTTATCTTCTTTCCAAGCTGCAATCGGCAACATCTGTCCATTAATCATTTGGCCATGGAGCGAGCACAAGCTGTGGACCAAAGCCCACGCGCCTGTGCCTGAGGGGCCGAGCAGTGCTACTGGAAACCACCCACAAGCAGCATCGGCCGATAGCACCTTGGCATAAACATATTCTGGAAAGATGTTGCCCGTGTGGCCTGGATAGGTTTCTGACAAGATTTCGATGTTCGTGTCGCGTCCTGCAGACAGATATCCCGTTTCCCACGCACTTCCATCGGGATTGTGCTCAAGACCAGCATATGCCCAGGCCGTCTTGATGACATCTCCTTTCGAAGGATTGACTGGAACGGGTCGAGGAGTCGGACTCGAAGAAGGCGGCGGAGGGGAAAATGTTAAGAGGTTCTCAATGCTGCGAGGCAGCCATATGGCTACAACTCGACAGTGAGAATTGAGGGTGCCTGGCGTCCCTGGAGCGACGTAACGGTCCTTCATTCCGCTCGAGAGTCCCAAAACATAATTGCATTGAAGTTCCAGAAAGCAGGAGAGCATGTTGGAGCGGTCCAGGCAACAATAGGCGGTGCCAGCTTGCCCATGGCCAAACACGCCATAGCGCCGGTTATGACCATTCAGAGAAGTCCACATACCACCATCGTTGACAATGCCTGAGGCACCAGGGACCATGCGCCCCTGACGCCATAAGACATCAAGGGTTGTAGCATGAAAGATAGTGCCCCTTGAGAGGCCTTTTACGGGGAGGCCCTATGGTAGGCCCTTCAAATCTGCTTGTAAAACCTCACACCCCCCATTAGGGGAAGCCCAGGGCAATAAAATCTCTACGAAGCGCAAATGCACGCTACCGAAGGGAAGGAATGCGGTGGTAATTACGGAGCACGAAGCTAACTTTTCGTGCTCAACTGCAGGAGGGAAACATCCGTGATTGACACGGATGCCGGTGCTAGGCGCACGACACGCTGTCGATGTGACAGGGCTCCTATGCGTCGCGTCACAGATCGCCGGCTTTAGTTTAGGGTTTCGGGTTTGGGGTTTAGGGTTTAAGGTTTCGGGTTTAGGGTTTAGGGTTTAGGGTTTAGGGTTTAGGATTTAAGGTTTAAAGGGTTTAGGGTTTAGGGCTTAGGGTTTCGGGTTTAGGGTTTAGGGTTTGCTGTGATAGGGCGTAGATGCCGTGAAGGTTAGGTTTTGGAAAAAGCTCGAAAGTGAGGAAGAGCAGCTTTGGCCCGATCGTGGAGGGCCATCTACCACTTTTCTCCCACCCCACGCCGTCCGAGGCGGCAAAGCCACCCAAACCTACTAGGGTTTAGGCCTAAACTCAAGGCAACAGTCCACTTCTAAAAACGTACTCAGTTTCATGACGTTCGGGTTCGGGGTTGGGTGGGGTCGGGGGGTTCCAGGCGGTCAGGAGGGGCCCAGCAGAAGTGGGCCCTCTCCAGAAATCAGGGGTGCTACCGACCCCCAAGCTGTGGGAGGCGACGGGCTTAAGCACCGCCCCCCAACGTAGGGGGGCGGCCTAGGCCCTGAGTTGAGGGTTGAGGGTTGAGGCTTGAGGCTTGAGGGTTGAGGCTTGAGGCTTGAGGCTTGAGGCTTGAGGCTTGAGGGTTGAGGGTTGAGGGCTTCTGGTGAGCAAGCCTTTCCCCTCCAGGGCTGCAACCATCTGAAGCGAGATCAGGATGCCTAGGACAGCGGAGCCAGCATTTCTTTGAGCTTCGAAAGGCTCTTACATGAACAGAAGTCTAATCTTCGATGCATGTTGTTCTCCTTGGAAAGAATCTCACTTCAGTTCACTCACCCACTTGAGACCCTTTGTCAGATGCCCGAGCTTGGATTTTAAGTGTAAACGACTTCCACACTTCTTTGCAGGCCCAGACGTTTTGCACCCTCTTGGATAAGTTCACCTTGGTTGTCTGAGCCGAGATGCAGAATTTCCCGGCACAGATCACCTTGGTTGCGGGCTTCTCCGGTATGCCCCTTGTGAGCGTGTAGCTGCAGCTGCCCTGCCCTTTGACGAGCGTGTCGTAGGATGCCCGGATGGAGCCGCTGATCTCGACCCGCGTGTCTCCGTTCGTGTGCACGGTCACCGTGACATCAGGACTGAACTGCGAGACGCCATCGACGGCCACGTGCAGGCCTACTTCGCACACGGGCTGAGGAATTTCCTCGTACATCTCCTTGGCCCAAGCCCTACATTGGCCCTACTTGCATTCGCATGCCCTGACTTATCTTGGGGAATCTGATTGGCAGTCGACCCTTACAGTCTCTAAAAATGATTCGAGTCTCTTTCAAGTTCGGTGGGGACATTCTGAAGTCGTTGTACATCTTGTAGGCCTGTGCATACTCTTCTCCCGGCACCAAGCCCGTTTCAGTCTTGCCCTTGCCATCCCGGGTTGCCTTGATCCCGAAGCCCTGCGAAAACTCGGAGACTTTGCTGAAGACGCACCTCAGCTCCATCCTGTCGTGCTGCATCTTGACGTAGCTTCCGGCACTGCAATCGCACTCCTTTCCAATTAGCAGCTGACAAAGAGATGTGGACTCCTGCAGGCAGCTGATGAACTTCTTCATCTCGTTCCAAACTGCAGTCCCCAGGCCTGCGGCCAAAGGCCCAAGCTTGGCGATCTCGCCTCCCAGTCGGGTAGCTTGGTCTGCGATGAAGTTTCCCACTTTGGTTGCCAGCTTTGCCCCTTGCTCGGCCGTCTTCTTCGCGTGCTCCAACGCAGTCTCTGCCAGCTGGATCGTTGTTCTCGCTGCCTGCTGGGCCACGTGCACGGTGGTTTGGGCTGTGATAGTGGCAACGTTCAGGGCCTGCGATCCCAGGTCCTCCGCGAAGCTTTGAAGGCCCTGAGGCAGCTGGTTAAAGCGCAGGCTCGGTGCCCGGATGACATGATTCCCGACCACGACGGCGGCATTGGCAAGGGCCGAGCCCACGGTCATGCCTCGACTGCTCTTGATATTTCTTCTCTTGGGTGTTTGTTCTAAACCCTAAACCCTATATCCTAAACCCTATATCCTAAACCCTAAACCCTAAACCCTAAACCCTGAAAACACTGCGCAAACTGTTTCTCAGGGAGACATCCCAGACACCGGCATTCTGAACCACCTGGGTCATTCCTTCGAAGGTGCTGACGATCCCGCCGAAGAATTTCGCCGAGACCACAGCATCCAGGGACTCCTCGCGCTCTTCATCCATTCATGGGTTTAGGGTTTAGGGTTTAGGGTTTAGGGTTTAGGGTTTAGGGTTTTGGGTTTAGGGTTTTGGGTTTAGGGTCCTCGAGCTCTTCATCTCTGGTACGGTTGAGGTGCTCACCGACAGAGGATCTCGAGGAGCGCGCGAGCAAGGCACTTTGTACATCCAAAGAATCCAAAGAATCCAAAGTGGATTCAGTCAAGTGGTGCTCCAAGTCACCTAAACTCCCCTTCATACCTTAATATAAAAAGCTAATATCTTAGATATCCGCTTGGGTTTTACGGTAAGAATGTAAAATAATTCCCAAGGGGTATATAGTCACCGGCATGAGCGTTGATGCTGGCTTCTGAAATGGAGGTCTGCGACTCCTGCACTGTGGGCAAAAGGCAAAATAATCAAGAAACATGTACTATAACATACAGACACACATTCTGTCTGTGTGTGTGTGTGCTATGACTGCTTTTGTCCACATTTTCTTATGTATTTAACTCTTCCGTTGCGTGCCTGCGCCAGCTTCCTCGCAGAAGGCAAGGACAGCATTGCCCTGGCAGTGTATGGTATAAACCCACTGAGGACAACTGGTAAATAAGTTCAAAGGGCAACTTCACGTGGTATGCTCCTGAGAGCGCGTTTCTGAGCTCGACACCAGCCCACCGCGCAAGCCATGGCCAGTGAGGACCATGACGATTGCTTCATTGCGAGTGTAAACATGGAAGGACTAAAACTAACGGCCAAGCCTTTGGCTGGCTTGGCTTTTGACCCCAGCTGCCAGCAAGGAGACAAAAGCTTTGACTCACGCATCAAGGCCAAGCAGATGCTTGAAAGCCGTGCGCGTCCATGTCGACCCCGCTAAAGCAAGGCAAGCCCCGGCATTGCAAAATGTCTCTATCAGGCCCAGGGCAAGACAAGAAGAGAGGACGTCCTCTTGCAAGAAGCGGCCATCCAGAAGGGCCCAAAAATTAGAAAATGTGTTCTAGCACAGAAAATCTTTCAGACCGTCCCCAGAAACAGCTCCCAAGCCCCCCCCCCCCCAGCCTCTGCTGCAGCCGCAGCTGTTTAAACAAATAACTGGGGATGGGCAATTTGCTAACCTTTGCTCTTGCTCTCCTCTTAGGTTGGGCATGTTGAGGGTTTAGGGTTTAGGGTTTAAGGTTTAGGGTTTAGGGTTTAGGGTTTAGGGTTTAGGGTTTAGCGTTTAGGGTTTAGGGTTTAGGGTTTAGGGTTTAGGGTTTAGGGTTTAGGGTTTAGGGTTTAGGGTTTGTTTTTTCGGGGCAGCGGACGAAGCCTTTGGTGACAGGGGTGGCCTGGGTGCAGCCTGAGGCTGGAAGTCCTGACAAGCCGAGATGAAATAAGCTAATCCAAACCGCCTCTATGTGACATCATACTGAAATTCCCAGGAGATGTGTCTCAACAGCTGACATTGCGAAAATACGCGCCAGCCCGTTTTTGCCCGTTTTTGGCATCACTGCACCAGATTTGGCTCGGGCTCTCGCCCTCACAGGGATTCCCAAACCCTAAACCCTAAACCCTAAACCCTAAACCCTAAACCCTAAACCCTAAACCCTAAACCCTAAACCCTAAACCCTAGACCCTAAACCCTAAACCCTAAACCCTAAACCCTAAACCCTAAACCCTAAACCCTAAACCCTAAACCCTAAACCCTAAACCCTTCCCAATCGGAAGCTTTTCATACATCGATCTCCCACTTGTTAATCGACAGCAACGAAAGACAGGTACGGAGCCCTTGAGATCCATGCGCGACCTACTAGGGTTCAGGGTTTAGGGTTTAGGGTTTAGGGTTAAGGGTTAAGGGTTTAGGGTTTAGGGTTTAGGGTTTAGGGTTTAGGGTCAATGCCTTTCATGGCAGTCAAAGCAGGTACCTAAGGATCTTTGTTGATGCTGACCACTTCCAGCAAGCAAGCCTTGATCTTCGTAGTCAACATCTTCACGTTGCAGACAGTTTGGCGGTCCATGCTGCCCGTTCCGAACTTAAGGATCCAAACTACGGGTCGAGAAGTCTTGCTTGGACATTATCATCTCAAGGCAGCTCAGGCGAGGTGTCTAATACAAATCACGTTTCCGTTTGCACGGGAACATTTTAGCGGTCTTAGCCTCGGTATTGTTGTCCAAGGTGTGGTCCATGTCAAGGGACGAGATTCAACTGTCCTGACTATTGTGCAGTGCACATGTTAGTGCCACAGCAATACGCTGCTGATCTTCTTAAGATTCGGCAGATTGATTTTGGCACTAATCAAGGGATCCTCGGTCTGTTGCAAGAAGTTGTTGACACCCCCCATTGGGCCAGCAAGCCTATAACCACGATTTTTGAAAATGTGCATCCACATCTCCTCTGCAATCAAGCCAAAATGGAAAAGGTTGGACAAGGCAGACTCTGCAATGTGAGAAGCTGCGATGAATATCGCCAAGTTGCTAGACATAGAGCTGCAACTACCATATGGGAGAAAGACGATCTTGAGCTACATTATCTTGTTCTTGATTCTCAAGCTCCCTTTGCATTGCAACTGGCAATAGCGATAGCTCTGACATGTTGCAGCAAGCGCAAGGTATTTGGCACGTTCTCCAAAGGCATAAACTGCTAGCAGAATGGAAGCATCCCGGTTCCTTGCATTGCAGTACGTTGCTGTTTCGACCAGCTGCAAGCAGGGGATTATATACCCTTCCTCTTGTTCTGCGAAATGGCCTTTCGCTCAATTGGCACCCTGGGGATCTCGCCGACATTAATGTCGCAATAAACCAAGGAGCAACCCTCTTTATGCCTAAATGCAATTCGTGCAACATGATGATAATATCATATCGCTTTTGAGCCCTGTTGTCGTTTGAGGCCACCAACGCAACCGTACAAAGAAGCTGCAGCTTCTGACGCGTCAGACCAGACGCCACTCTTACCAAATGTAGGAAAACAAGCTGAGGGTCATGGTGTCAGTGGCCAGCCAAGTGCTAACAACCAGCCTCATTACAACCCCAAAATCAGCACCCAAGTTCCCGCAAGAGAAAGGCAATGAACCACGATCTCAGAAGCCAGGTACTGATGATCAAGTTAACAGCAGCAACAGGAGAGCGAGCGACTTCAACCTTTGTACTGCTTATGCCCCATTTCTACATCAGAGTGCCTTATTCTGAATGTTAGATATCAGGCTCGAAAATGTGGCAGCCCCCCTACGCCAATCTCGCCAACAGCCACCTCACCGTTTGCAGGGTTTCGCTGACGTATATTCCAACGCTGTAAACTCTGTCCCAGAGAACCTTCTGCTTCTTCGCATATCATGTGGTGCAATTGCGCTCTGCGTACAACCCCAACCTACGTGGCCGGTGATTAGCCGACAATGACCCATCATGTGACATGGATCCATGGTTCTGGACAACAATATGGCGTGGACGGTTCTCTTTTTGAATGGACTATGGAGAAGTGACTTGTTTGCATGAAGCCATTTCAGGACACGGATAACCCCAAGTTCGGTGCCACCCGTGGGGCCTTTTCAGTATTGGCAAGAAGGCGCTATCCAACAGCCGCAGTCCTTGTGACGATTGCAACTCTTGGAGGGCGTCGTCACGGCTAAGATTTTTTAAAGTGCTGGCGCCTTTCAAAGTCCTGTTTGCCCAGCCTGTTTCTTTTCACACCGACTCGCCCAAAAGACTGCTCAGTGATCTGCTGGACCATGATCTGCTGACGTAGGACGAGCTCGCCATCAAAAAAACAAACTACGATCTTTTAAGTCCGGGGGCCTGCTCTTGGTCGGTTGTCTTGTGTCAAGTGGTCGGAATTGGTGGCCTTGCGCGGTTGCTTGTGTCAAGTGGCTAGTTGTTGTTCCAAGTAAGTGGCCGGCTGTCCGACAACGACTTCTGAAGGTTGAAAGCGTGGGTCATGCTCCTTTTCGGCTTTTTTCTTGAGGAAAGGCACTGAAAAAAGGACTTGTCAAAGGCCGTGAAATCGTGCACCAGGGTTACGATTTTCATGGTGCGTTTTTCCTACTCCTGAAGGCCTTGAGAAAGAAAGAGAAAGTGAAACAGAGATATGTAGAGAGAGAAAGAGAGATAGAGAGAGAGAGAGAGGAAAAGACAGAGAGAGAGAGAGAGAAATATACATATATATGGACACAGAGAGAGAGAGAGAGAGAGGGAGAGAGAGGAGAGAGAGGCCGAGAGACCCGAGAGACGCAGAGACCCGACAGACCCGTCCCTCCGGAAGTCCCAGGGCAGCAGCTCACGAGAGGAGCCCGTCTTTCTTTCTTAGGGCGGGCCGTTAGCGTCGGTACACAGGCGCGGCACGCAAGCTTCCACGCAGGAGCTAGGGCTGAGACAGCACAATTAAACCCTTGATTTGCGCCCCAAATACTAGGTAACCCTCATGAACAGAAGCAAGCCCGTCGAGCCCTTGCACTGAAAGCCACAATTGCAAGAGCAGATGATAATTCCGGGATTTGGCAGCGTCCATCAATTGTCACGCAGCTTCCTGACTTTTGGCACCACTTTGTACCCTAACCCCGCCCGACACCATAGCCTCCACGAGCACTCTGCGCGTCCCGACCCAAGCTCTCAAATCCGTAGCCCGGGAAAAACGTCTGTAGGGACTTGAAGCGCCAAGGGACCTGTAGAGTCTTCAGAACATTCTGCGGGGGCAACCTTTTTTTTAAATGGGAGGCAATACGACACAAACCAAACACCAACAAGACAAAACCCGTCCACACTAGGTGCAAAGGGTGAAACAGGCCCCTCTCAATTCACGACGAAGACGAAGTAGGGAACCCCGGTAGCAAAGTGCATCGCAGGCATGTGCGTCGCGGACTATGCAGAGAGTGCTTGGTCGAAAAAGCACACAGTTCCCTCAGCTCGGGGGCGAATTCACAGGCTGGTGCATAATGGGCTGCAGCAGAGGCATGCATGCAAAAGGCTGGGTAAATGGCATAATCATCCAAGGACAGCAAAGGGAGCGTTCTGTGCAATGCAAACCAAGGCTGACGCAAGGGTGGATCATACATCTGGAAGACCGCGTGTGAGGTGGCAACTACAGGCCGCAACCTCAGGAAAACGCAATTGCCAGCGGAAAGAAGTGCACACAGAAGGCAAAGTAAAAACCCCCTCCCCCAAGGAGAGGGGGGGGCTACACCAGGTAGTGTCCGAAGACAGTTGCCTTCTTGCGAGCACCGACTGAGATGTAGCTCAGAGCATCCGCATCTTCCCCCGATGGGCGCATTGGCACATTGCCCCATCGCCTCA